GATAATATAGTGGTTTCCACTTGAAAGCTAATGGTAGTATATGAGTGAGATGTAAGTACATATGTTATGAATTCTCTTGTACTTGTTGTTGTAAATCAATTTTGCTGGTATGTTATTAATGATTAAATATACAAATTATTGCTTTTTATATGCATTATAGTATCATTTGTTTTACACAATACACACCTATTAGGATATGTCTTTGTAAAACTATTCATTAGGAATAGTTATCATAATACAGATTTTTGTTATTATCTTGTGATGCATAAACTCATTTGATGTGGTTACATTTTATTGTAATATAAACACCTATACCACTCATAGACATAAAAGGTGTGGTAAGACTATTAAGAGATTGCCAATAAGCATGCTAAGTCACAACTGACAAGCATTCTTAAAGTTACTTTAAAATCTCATAAAAATCCAATTTTGATCAGAATTAACTCAAACTTGCTACACAACATAAGAACATGTATATACATCAGAAAAAATTATAAAAATGAAGAACTTTCATTATTGGCGAAACTGGGTGAAAGACCCTGTACTAAAAAACAAGAATGAATTGGATTCTAGAGCTAATTTGTAAAATAATAACGGAAAAAAGGAGCAAGCAGGATTTTGAACAACTGACTATTTATACCATTGAAAACCCCACTCTCGTGATGCAAATTCTACTCTACATTGCAAGGTGATTAGTAATTTTTTACATAATAACATTTAAAATGCAATGTAAAGTAGAATTTGCATCATGAGAGTAGGGTATGAATAGTCAGTCGTTTGGAATTCTACTTGCTCCTTCTTTTTTACAAATTAGCTCTAGAATCCTACTCAATCTTGTTTTTTATTCTTTTATAGTACAAATATTTATTTAAGAATATTGACCATAACTAGTAAAATCTTAGTGTGAATCAGCTCAAACTTCTACATAGCATAAGGGTATCAATTTGTATCAGAAAATGTAATAGAAATTTTAGGTGATTTTGGAGACATTTTTTGGCAGAAGTGATGGGCTATATAAAGGAATTAATTTATTTTAAAAGAACACCGAAACACACTCCAAAAGAATTCTCTAGAAGTGTTATAATGTAGAGAGAGCCTCTACAAGTCTTAATAAGAACCCAGTTATACATGCAAGGTGGTGAAAACAATTTTAGGAATATATTATTACACTGATACACTTGTTTTTAGTGGTGATTATGCTGGGGCTTTAGTAAATTATGAGAAGGATATTACAAATGATCCAAAGGTAAATAAAATATATAAGCATTGCTATTCATTAAAGACACTTGCTATTGGTAGACTACAGCTCATGATGACCTGTGTGTGGCTGGAATGGCAAGAGCATCACTTTATACTGGTGACATGAGAAGGTATAATGATTCAATGTGTTTTTACTGATCCAGTGATCATATATTGTTAGGGGATTAAAATTAGCTCATGCTAGTCCTGATAAGCAACTAAAAAAGATTGTGCTGCCATTCTTGATAATCTAAAAGTAATTCAATATGCATGCATATGTAATATATCGATGTGAGACATGTATTGTTGTCATTAACAATTCCATTGTTACTAATTTTATTGTGTTAGTTGTTTAATGAAGCTGTTGCTTTATATGAACAAGCCGAATGTTGGGAAGAAGCAGCTACAGCTTTCATCAAAATAAAAAATTGGTAATTGTTTATTGTTGACCATTAATACTACATGTACATGGTGTATGAATACTTTTTCAACAAAGGAAGAAAGTTGGTCAGTTATTGTCTATGCTACCAGATGCTACTAAGCTTCATGCACAGTATGCAAAAGCTGCTGAGTCAGATTGTCAGTATAAAGCTGCTGCTGCTGCATATGAGAGAGCCATGAATTATCAGAATGCTACTAGGTACTGTATACTGTGTGTGGGTTTTGTTGGGAAATTCATACTTTAGAGTGTATTGAAATTACCAGATGAAGCAGTTTGTGTAGTAAATGAATCTCAATCTATTGAAGCAGCACAACTAGTTGCCAAGTTAGTTATAAATTTCATTGATCATTCATTATTGCGCTTAGGTTTTTTCAAAAAATAAATGATTATGCTTTGGCACTTCAATTTCTTGTTCTCTCCAAGTGTAACGATGAAGCATTCAATATGGCTGAAGTATGATACTGTAG